TTTTTCCGATTAGGATCTGCTATATAATGGCGAAAAGGCAGGACAGAATGCAAATGGTTTCATTGTAGGCTAGTTTGTGTTTTGTTTAACAATAAGGATAATTAGAATACAAGATAAGGACAAGATAACAATCAGAATTTTCAGTAACTATATTTTTTATTAGCTTAATACATCGTTGAACCTTTAAAAATAAGGAAAAGGGTTTAATACTTTTACAAACATTTATTTATTTCGTATTCTCACCACTCATATAAATCTCATATTTATAAAAAGTGTTTTCAAAATCCCCTATGTGTTTATCTGGCTTTACTAATTTGGATTATAAGAATTTTTTCTTGTCTTCTCCTTCCTAGATATGCCTTGCAAGAATGAACGTCCCGTTAGGCTACATAGTGGTGACCACACAGGATATGATTGTTGCTTGAGAATTAGTGTTTTATTTTTTAAAGGGTTGATTTCTATATATCAAGTTTTTGGTGACTTTTAGTGAAAATCGTCTACCGACTTTTGATGTACTGAAAAATAGTACACCTTCCATCCTCTACGAATGTTTTAGGCAACAAAATGCTACAAAATAGTAGTAGGCGAGGCAACGAAGTACAAAATCTACTAATTTTCCGCAGCAAAATGAATCGCAAAGTTTTCGAATAAATTTATGCTGGTAAAATGAAAATTGCATTTTGTGCATAAGTAATGAAAATGCATTTCCAAAGTGCATAGAAAATGAAAAATTTGCAACTCGGAAAATATTAACATCAATTAGTTCAATTGTATTATACGGGGATTTTTGATGTCGCTAAACATGAATATAATTACGACGATGGTCCTCGAGCTACCTGGTATCCAGGGTACACCTCGTCTCCCGAAGTTTTACGATATTTTCGTTCGCTGTCAAAAGTTATTATTCGGAGATTTTGGTGTTGCTGAATATGAATATTACGATGGCGATGGTCTCCAAGCTATTTGGTGCCCAGGGTTTACCTTGTCTCCTGAAGTTTTATGTGAATTTGTTATGTAAGAATTTGATAAAAGTGTGGTATCCAAGAGGAGTTAGAATATGATTTCTTGAATATAAATCTAAAAAAATATTAAGTAAAAAAAGATGATTAACAAATAATCGTATCGTCTGTATCAAAGATTTGATTTTCTTTATAATTCTCCATATTCGTGTAATTAAACTCCAAATTTCCAAATTACAAACCAAGCCATTCTTTCTACATCTACATTAGCTGCCGCAGTCTTTTTTGCAACTGCAAAAAATTAAACTCGCTGTACCAGGAGGCTGTATTATAGTCATTGGACGATAGGAATTTTCTTTGAGCTCCCATCTGTTACATTAAAAACTCTTTTTCCGTACAACCAGGTCTGATCTTGTAAATATCCTCTTCTAAGATGCTGTGTTAATACATTACCATTCACAGAATTTTACCTATCGAACCTATTTATTTTTGGAAATAGCCGTGAGGTTCATCCGGTATATTAGGCTTTCTAAAATTTATGGAGGCATCATACAGTGCTAAAAGTAATTGTGATTCATACTCAACGTTTTTCTCCACAGACAGACCAACTTCTTTAACATGTTATGCTTCCTGGGCAGGCAAGGTCGGGATTATTTTGAAATATTTTTAAAAAAATAATTTTCCCTTAAAAGAAGCTGGCAAAACCTGTATCGCAACCTGTAAAAATAAAATGCTCCAAAACGACTAAGATATGTTTCAAACTTTTCGAAGAATGTACTTCGGCTGTGTTTGGTCGAGCCAAACAAAGAGAATATGTATTAGCTTGCACTTTGTCAGTGCTCAAACTGCTTAAAAGCGTCAAATTTTGAAAAATGAAATTCTAGATAATTTTTTGAAGTTTTATATAAAGTTACATGAGATATGGTGAAGTCATTTTTGAACGAAATATTCGTATTAAACGACCTTGAAACCCCCCAAGCAATGACTGTCGACTTATTTAGAATGAAGGTAGCTCAAGGACCATCCTCGTTATTATATTACAACCCTGTATAACAACGTAAATTCATTCCTTTCAATATTTAATTTTTTTTTATTTTCTATGCATTTTGGAAACGCATTTTCCTTGAAAGCAAAATGCAATTTTCATTTTACCGCCATGAATTGTGTTCGTTGAAGTTTATCACTTTTAGTTTTTCTTTAAAGCTTACTTGGAGCTGTGACGAGAAAAAACTGATGAAAACTAGTTTTTGTCTAGTTCAATATGTTTTAAGACTAACATTCCTAAAAATGTGGTAAAACCTTCTTATAGTATGAATTCTAATAAAATAACAAAGAAGTAAATTTCACATAATTTTCTTGGCGTACCTACTATATACGTTTTAACAACCACAAACTAATAAAATTATGATCTTCAAGAGAACTATGATACAGAAAAAGATAAAGAACAGGTCATAAAGGGAGTAAGTTAATTATTTCCGATAATAAAACTTATGAATACCACATACAATCATATTATTATTTAAAAGCATAACTAATGAAACTATAATCTTTGATACATAAAATTAGTTTTAATAGTTTCTATAAGAACTAAAATAAACTATAAATTATATAAATAAAATGGTGTTTTATCTACATTCTTTTATGCCTCATCAACGTAAGATAACTTCCCTGTTTGGTGTATTATGGTTTCAGCATTGTTGATATAAAGTACCGCTGTTGACGTATACAGTACAGTACGTCGCCAGTACTTTTTTGACATGACATATCTTCTTTATGTGCCATCTTCTACCGAAGGTTGGAGACGATCAAACGATTCTGGTATTTGAAACCATTCTCTCAAATTTCTCAGCCAGGATTTCTTCTTTCTGCCCAAACCTCTTGTATCTTCAGTCTTGCCTTCCACGAAAAGCTGTAGCAGACTGTATTTATCATTAGGGAGCACATGGCCCAGGTATGACCACCTCTTTACCCATTCGTCTTAATACCTCTGTCTTGGTCACTCTGTCTATCCAAGCTATTCTCAGTATGCGTCGATACAGCCACATTTCTAGAGCCGCTAAGTTCTTTATAGTTGCTGCAGTTAACGTCCACCCTTCTACTTACACTATACGTCTTAGTCATTCGGGTTGTTCTCGTTAAAAACTTTTAAAAATTCGACTGGTATATTATATGGCGATAATCCGTAAAAAAATCTTTTTTGTAATTTGCCAAGTCGGTAACTGTTCTTCTTTATCTACAATAAGTTTATTGTTCTCGTCTATTAACCTACCAAACTGTGTTTTCTTGAAAATATAAGTAAACTGCTTGATTTTTTTATGCATGTTAAAACTATCGTGGCTTCGTTCTAGCTGTTCTATCTCTTGACATTTTTCTTGTAACCATTCCTCTCATGACAAATCATGTTTAATTTTTTTATGTCACCGTAGTATGTTCGCAACATCGGTAGAAGTTTAGGTACTATAAGTTTGATCGCCGTGTTCTATTACGTAACAGGTTGCAACTTTCTGTATGTTAAGCCATTTATATGCGTTACAAGCATAATGCGCTTTTGACATGAGCCACGCTTTTTCCGTTGTGTCACGCCCCCGCACGATATGACTAACCGTTAAATCGCGACCTTATATAGCCGAATAGCGGAAAATGACCAGAATGGAGATCAAAATCAAATCACAGCTACGTAACGTAGCCTTATATCAATCTTCTTTTCTTCTTTATTTGGTCTTATAACTCTAAATGAATTTTTAGCTGCCGTTATTTCATTCAGACCTTTAATGTGGCTTTTCCTCAATTATTTTAACTACAATTTTTTAAGGCATTTCACTATTTATCAAACCACCTCGTTCTGGGTCCTTTTTCTGATCTGTTTTCTTTACTGTTTCGTCTCTTCCGTTCTCTATACATGACAACTTCTCTTTTTTATAAATCGCACAACAGTATGCTTTTCGTTCAATTAATTAATTTCATATAGTATTATTCTCTATTGATATACCTCTATTAAAATATCGTTTGGATTCGCGAAAACACAGAAGCTGAAACCCTAACAGCTGATGTTAACACGTTAAGTCGCTTTAAATGGATTCTACCTGGTGGTCTTAACGAAGACCATGATACTACAATATTGTATCGTACAATATTGGTTGTCATAATATCATGACTAAGACCATAGCTGATTTGAATTTTGATATAGTTGTGAATGAATATTTTCCAAAAAAATCTAGGAAATTGCGCTGAAACAATAGAAATCAATATATAACGCGTTTTTATGTTTATTCTACAATGTGCAAACGCAGCACCTATTTCATATACAGCTTTCTCACTGAAAAATTTGATTCAAACTTACTTTCAGCTGATATATTCAACTCTTCTATTTTTATATACAACTTCAGTTTTTAAAGCTTCTTTAAAAAGAAGATAAACATGAAGCAACAAAATATAAAGACATATTGAATAAAATACTCAAACTACTCACAAACACATTTAACAAAGTAACTATGCCATAAAGAGTAAAGAACCACAAAAAATATCTAAAAGGTAGTTCACTGATGCCATGTTCATCATCAGTAATAAAATTGACTGACCAAAAACAAAACAAAATTAAAAATTATTCAAAAAGAACTACATGATAATATTTCTTTATAGAGCTTTGTATTCACTACGTCGTTGAGAACCAAATTTCCAAGTCTATTTTATCTTATCTACCGCTGATTTAAACAACTGTGTCGACAGCTTATTTGGCCAGATAAAGGTTATATTTTTGATATCTCAGAATGTGAGCATTTTCCGATAACACCACAATTTAAACGCTTTCACTTTCGTTCCTAACGTTTTTATGATCATCCACGCCTCAACGCCTTGTAGAATAACAATGTAGAAAACAGGTAGTACTTTAGTATTCGAGTTCGTAAATGCATATATGTTCATATCAACTGTTAATATTATCAGTCAGCTGACTATATTTAGTTTTTAGTTTCTTTGGACTAAATGAACCCTTTAGAATTTAAAACTAATATGTATTTATGTTTTTTTTTCGTTATTTTTTAGTTGGAATCCAAAAAAGCGCTTGGCTCCTGACGAAGCATTGCGCCATCCATGGATTACCGCAGGTTCGCATTCATCAAAGTCCGGGGAACTTCGACACAGTCATTCGGAAATAAACGTATCCCACGACAGCCATTCATCGAGCAGCACTTCCGGTAGCAGTCACTCGAGGGGCCACTACAAAAGCATTGTACAAAAAGGTGATAAAGTCAAGGCCAAAATAGTAGAGACTAGATTGCACGACAGTATCACCAAGTTAGACTCAAACCTAAACGACTCTGGAACCTTTCTTCCGCCTATACTTTAGTTGATTTCGTCGCTGTGGGGATTTTACAATTTAAAGAATAATGTGTAGGTTTTAGTATGTGTTTATTAGGGAAGGAACTTTCTACTATTGACTTCAGAAACTAGTTACACCATTTGATGAATCAAAGATGACTTGATGTAAAGGCTCTTTGTTTGTAGATCTCAAAGGGATCCTGTAGACTTAAAAATTCACACTGCGCTCTAAAGAATCTTTTGCATATGTCTATATTTTATTCCAAAAGATATAGTCTTCTAAGAAAATCTATTGTTCCTTTGGGATCTACATTTTTGTCACCTGATAAGGTTCTGAAAATATCTGTTTTCAGTATCTAGAGAATTTTCTCTACGTTTTTAGAAAATCTACACTAAAATAAAAATAAAGTTCATGGAATTATTATAAAAAATATCATACAACTAGGAAAACAATCAGGTACCACAGTTAAAGGGGCAATAAAGAATAGGAGAAATAAAGAATGACTATTTAATACAATGTGGATTATAATACACAGAAGTCTAAACACAGATTAAGTAAAGAAAATATATTTAATTATTTAATCCTGTACGCAGAATTTTATTTTTGAGAAATATTAAGTTACATTTTTCGATTATATATACAATTGATTTTTCGCTCTTTTATGATCACTATTTTTTATGAAAATCCTCATTTTCCCACATTTGTATCATGAAATTTTGGTTTGTTTGTTCATAATTGCCATGTTATAACAAATCTCAAATTCATAGTTTTTTATACCAATTATTAGTAATGAGATAGATTCGGCAAATGGTGTAACTACTTTTGAAAAGTAATTGACCTAGAATATTCCTTTGATAGAACGATATGTTCGTGAATTGTTCTTATAAGACGGCCAACGATTTGTTTAAGACCAATAATTCGCTTTTAATATATAGGTATAGATATTTGTTACCCTTTGTAAGAACAATTGAAGTCATTTCCCGATAGCTCTGTGAAAAAAAGCGTTAAATTTTAAGGAAATGTGACTGATATTGCCTAAATATATCGTAGACCAGTTGGCCAAAATAAGGTACATTCTTCTTTTAGCTGCAATGGTAGGATCAGAAGCGTACGATTCTAAGGATGGATATCGTTCATTGAGAGAAAACGTTAACATTGTCGGAGAGTTCGCTATTAACGGCAAGAAACAGCAACAAGCGCAACTAAGCACTCAAAAGAGTGTAATAATATATGCTTTTAATTGCTCAGTTTTGTTAAATTGAGTAACTGAAATAGATATTCATATAAAAGATCGCCCATAATCACGTATAACCGGCTGTTGCCGTCCGTAACACCCAAAGACAGTTTAAATGAACGGATTTTCCAAGGGATGCATCTTTATTTGCGCTCCCATTGTACCTATTTTCCGCGTACGCCTATATTTAGTTGGTAAGTTTGATTTGTGCAGTCGAATTTCAATTTTAACTGTGATTATTAAAAATAGCTTGAAATATATAGAAAGTAAGTTGAACTGTTTTAAATTTTATCAATAGTTTGTGTCAGATTAGCAAAAGATATCGAAAATAAGGAATATAAATACACATACATCGAGATATGGGAATAGTGTTAGGAAGAATTCCTTTCCTTGAGTTGAAGTTTCAATTTTGATAGAAATTAGTGTTTAAACATCTTCCTGTTAAATTTATTTACACTATTTGCTACAATTATATACTCATTTTCTCATAATTTTCTTACATAATCTACAATGAAGTATTTTGTTCTTTATGTGTGTAGATACTTGATGTCTAAATTTAAGTCGCATTCTCGTATCGATATTATTCACAGTACATAACCTGATAATATGAATTACCTACATCTAAAAACTAATTACAGTTCAATCATAGCCTACCCCTACTTGTACTTGCAACAGGCAGTGATAATTGCGTTCGTCTGTGAAGATACTTTTTATTCGCTCTTCACATGTCTTGCTGATCTTAACGTGGCTATATTTATGTAGGATCATACATCCATCCCATCTGATATTTATTTATATTTATTAGATATCCCAAAGGTGTACTGCCTTCTTCGGATGCTATTTTCACAGATAACATAAAGTATTCGTTCGTTTGAAGGTCATTAGTTGGTTTACACTTACTAATGTTGGTTTATTGCAAGTCTTATTGTCCTTTCTCCTATTGTTTATTCACAAGAATAGCAAATTTATACTATCACCTTTTTCTTTTTGTTCTTTAGAGTTCAGATCATCATCATGATAAAAAATAATTAACTCATTATTTTGCCTTGTGTCACTCTCCTGTTTAGGTCCCTTTTCTGTCTATCTGTCTCTTTCTTTATCACATGTCCCCCCCTCTATTTTATTTATTTTGTACGGACTATTTTCTATATAGTGTTTTTAATGTAAAATGCAACATATTTATCATTTGGCTCCAAAATCTTAATCTGTATCTGATATATAATTTACTTCTGAGAAAACGGAAGAAAATGAGAAATATCACTCACTCTTCCTAAATATTTTTGATAAATTTTCGTTTCCTATATGAAATTTAAACAAAAATAGTTCAGGTACTACCTATTATTATTAATATAATGCATTTGAGATATATATGACTTAATTCGATATTTTTTGCTTGTCTTTGCTGCTTAACGATATTGTATGTTATTGTTGAATAGTTGATTTCTGTAATTAGAGAGTATTAACACAGGGATTGTTCTATTAGCTAAATAAATTAAAGTTGGTTGATGACTAGAACTACTTAGAAAACATTTTTTTGTACATAACATTGATATTTTTCGTCTTTGTTTTTCTAAGGATAACTAAGGAATGTTTTCCCTAATATTATACGTTATTTTCTGGTACAATTTTTATATAGGTATCTTTTTGTCTTTCATTCACCTTGTATTATATTCTTTATTTGTTTTTACATCATTTAGTTAATTAGAATTTGTCTCAGTTTTATACATACACTGCCTAAAATGCTCGGTGGTTCGCAAGTATTGTATGTTGTTTTTGTCTATTCAAGCGACAGAGCATTTTATTAGTTATTTAAGCAACAAATGCAAAATAACGTAAATTTATTACCCATTATTTATAAAAAATTAAATCTTTTGTTTGACATTATTACAAACTGCTGTAGTAGATGAGTGTAATAAAACCTTAAATATAATTAGTACAATAAAGAATCAGTTTTTTCACTAAATGTAGTTCAGTAAAGTTTGCTTTTTGCATAAACATATAAAAACGGAATTTTCATTTGAATAGGGATATTATGACTTATACCATTTTATGATCTTATATTTAATGCTCTGTATGTGCGCCAGTTGGAATTACATATAGTAGATATATTAAATGAAAAGAAAGGTCGAAATGGTACCTACTCCACATATTTCAAAATTTTAATAAATTTTATTAAGTAAGCTTCTAGTAATCAACCTTAATTCTAAAATATTATTATTGCTTGCCAAAACGAAGTAAAAATGTTAATACTCAAAAGTGAGCTTAAAAATCCAGTTATGATAACAATGAGTTTAGTGTCCCTTGTAATATTATACTAAATGTGTAGTAGTTTCGAAAAAAATGACTGTTTTTATTCAAACCTACATGTTCATTAGAAATAGGTCTCTTTTATTAAACGAATTTTTATTTATATAAACTTTTTTATACCTAGACATATTCTAGCATGTACATTTTTTCAATATGTTAAGTTGTAGTCTTTTAGTCAAACAATGTGTATTACTTTTCTGTTATCAATATACAGGGTGTGAAAATAATAGAAAAATAAGATTTTTCTGGTTTTACAGAAATAATATCAGAAAAACTAATCAGAAAACTAAACAGCGCCCTCTATGTTGATAAACATGATGTAAATCCCAATGTGATATATATTGATAATATAATAAACCTTAAATAGATATTAGAAACCCGGCCTAGGAGTTAAATTTTAATCTATCTTTGCAATATATAAGACTAGGTGACTACGCAAAATATATTTAAATATTACATAAATTTATTTTTAGCATTTATTTAGTTTTGCTAATATAGTTTCGACGCCATTTTCTTGTAGCATTTTTACACCATAATCTTTATTTTTGGGAATGAACGACAATAAAAATTAAAATAATATATTTTTACTATTACTGTAGTTTATTCCCAAACATTATAGTCCTTAAACAACTTTCTGTTGTAATTTCTCGAGGATGTTTGTATTTTTCATGATTTTCTCTAGAATTTCCTTGTTTCGTGCCTTAAAATTAGCCTTATAGTTGCATCCATCGCTTTCCTCGTATTCTATCTTCGATCTTTCTGTTGTTGTTTCATACCCTATCTTCGATCTGGTGTTATGTTCACGATCGTTCAGAAAGGGTTGGATGTTTTCTGAAGGCACATAAGTTACAGAACTAAAATGTATTAAACTTTTCTAAGAGATGGCACTAGTGTTACGTTAGCTTAAATTCATCATCTGTTTCCATCGAATATTTCCTCCATATTTGTGGAAAAAATTTATTAGTTGATGAACTTACTCCAGAATGAGAGGAAGATGTACCTGAATTATGTAAAAAATAACGCAGTGTAATAAATCATTATTAAGCATCCTAAACATATGTCATACTCTCCCTTAAATGTGTTCCGTTTGTCCATTCTACAGATATACCACACCATAATTTTTTTAATCCCTTTTCTCTATTCGGATTGCCGAATATAGGCCTCTCCTAATTCTCGCCATTCATCTCTATTGTTTGTAAGACGTTTCCACATTAGTCCTGCAGTTCTTTTAATATCGTCGCTCTATCGTATTTGCGGTCTTCCTCGTGGTCTTTTAGCTTCATATGGCTGCCAATTCCCGACTTCTTTATTCCATCGGCCATCCGTAAGACGTTCGTTATGTCCAGCCCATTTACATTTCAGTTTAGCTGCCTTTTCTACAGCATCTTTTACTTTTGTTCTATTACGAATGTTTTCGTTGGTTTTATGGTCTTTTAGTGAGATATCCAGCATCTGTCGTTCCATAGCTCTGAGTTTTTCTGATCTT